ATGCATACTGTTGTGGCATGGGGTCTTCTTTATACATCGCTTATGTCCAATTGGTTTATCGTGTTTTTAAGTACTCTATTTTACTTATCTTATGTCTGATTCTATCTATTATCAGAAATATCATTGCAGAGCTATCTATTTCTCCCTTTAATCCTGTCAACTTTTGTTCATATATTTTAGGGCTCTGATATTTGCTGCATATATGTTCATAATTTTATATCTTCTTGGTAAATTGACCCTTTTATTAACATAAAAAATCCTTTTTGTTTTCATTTTATGATTCTCACCTTTGTTAACATTCTTATTTCATTGAAATATTGTTTTCCTTATTCCATTTAGTTCTTTTTTTCTGTTTTCCCTTAGCTTTTGAGCATATTTAAGACAACTGTTATAATCTTTTTCTACTAAGTTCAATGTCTTCTGGTTTCTGTCAATTATTTTGTTTCTTTGAATGAGACTTGTTTTCCTGTTTCTTTTTATGCTTTGTGATTTTAATTTCTGTTGAAAATTGGGCATTTGACTATTATAATGTGGCAACCCAGGAAATCAGATTAGATTCTCCCATTTCTATAGTTTGTTGTTTTTAAATTTTTTAAAAAAATTTGATTTTTAAAGGCTGTTGTAGTTCATTTGTTTTGAGACATTTACAAACTATTTTTGCAATTACTATTTCTTGTCATGTGTGATCACTGAAAAGCATTCTTTTAGCTGTTTTCAGCTCATGTTTTGACAGAGATTTCCTTGAATTCTAGGAGATCAATGAAACAAAGAAACAAGCAAACAAAAAGTACATAAGGAAAAAAAGACAAACCAGCCTTTTTTTCTAGTCTTTTCAGTTTGGCTTTGTGCTTGCTGGGGTACTCCACCATTTAGTTAGGCTCTGAGCCTAGGGAACAGCCTGAGGTAAAAGGGTCTTCTTTTTTGAGCATGTATCTTTCCTTGGCATATACATGTCTTTCTAAATTTCTCCCATATATTTGGCTGCTCTTGAATGTCATAATTTCCCAAACATTCTCATGCTATCTTCTCCTATGTGCTTTAGATGGTATATTATATGTCTCCACTGATTATCTCTTGCCCCCATAATCTTGGCTGTTATCAGCTGAATTGTGTCCCTCAAAATTAATATGTTGAAGTCTTAACCCCACTACTAGTAACTTCATGTTATAACTCTATTTTGAGATAGGGCCTTACAAGTGGCAATTAAGGTAAATGAGGTCATATGGGTGTACCCAAATCCAACATGACTTGTTTTCTTTTAAAAATATATATATATATTTTTTTATTGATTTCAGAGAGGAACGGAGAAAGAGAGACAGAGAGAGAGAGAGAGAGAAACATCAACGATGAGAGAGAATCATTGATTGGCTGCCTCCTGCATTTCCCACAATGGGGATCAAGTCTGCAACTCCAGCATGTGCCCTGATGGGTAATTGAACCATGACCTCCTGGTTCAAAGGTTGACACTCAACTACTGAGCCACGCCAGCTGTGCATGTATGGTTTTCTATAAGAAGAGTAGATTAGGACACAGACACACACAGTAGGAAGACCATGAGAAGATACAGAATGAAGATGGCCATTTATAAGCCAAGGAGAGAGGACTTAGAAAATACTAATTCTGTTGACACCTTAATATCAGACTTCTAGTGTCCAGAATTGTGATAAAATTAATTTTTATTGTTTAAGCCACCCAATTTATGCCACGTTGGCATGACAGCCCTTAGCAAGATAATATAGTAGGTTTGTAGTCACCTTGTATCTTTTATGAGGAGTGTCCATTTCGTCCCCTGCCTGACATTCTATATGAAGCTGAGATGACCACCTTGGATCAGCCTTTTAGGGAACTTCCAGACAGGTTAGAATAGATGTACACAATAATTTGTAAATAAAGTCTGCTCTGCTTCCTATGGTTTGAGGTCTGGAATTGGGAAACAGACTGCTACTTGCTTAAACCAAGACCCCACTATGCCATGAAGGCAGTAAGGGCTAGTGAAAACACCAAAAATCTTTCTGCCATTTTGAATATATATTTTTCTTTGGTTGGTTGCAGTGAACCTCTTACTGTTTTACACATCTCCTACAATGTTGGTTCCAATAGCTTCTGTTTTATTTTATTTTTTTATGTAGGTGTATTTCTAAGACATGTTGTAGACCTAAATACGTTAGACATAAAAGTATATTCTGTATGATTCCATAGAAAAGTATAGGGGTAGAAAGAAAATTGGTATTTATATAACATTAGTTAATTACTGTACCAATTAATCCTCTTATAGTCTACCTCATTCACAGAGATTTTCAATTTCCTAAAAAAGTGTCATTTGGAATGAGTAAGGAAAAGGAGAGCAAAAACATTATAGAAGACACATGACTAAATTAGAAGGTGATGGAGAGAGAACCCTCAAATATAGTATGAAAAATTGTGGGATAGTGGATTAATAGACAAGGATAAGGAAACATTTGGGAGGATAAAATGATTAGTTTACATGCCTTGGAATGATGCATTCATTATAAGGATGATAAGAAAATAAATGTCCTATACATGACAAGCATTTCTAGGTTATCAGTTGATTCTTTGGAGTCCAGAATTTACCCAACTCATTTATCTAAAATATATGAGTCTTTCCTGACACTTTCCAAAGTACAGAGGCGGAATAAATAATACTTTTCCATGAAGAGCAGTTAATTTATGGTTATTCATATTTCTCAGTGTGATTTATCTGCATTGTCTTATTTGTTTGTTTGTTTATAAGGTAAGGATAGTAATATCTACCTTTGGATAGTTGGGAAAAATAAATGAGAATGTTTGTAGAAAGACTTTCATAAACTTTTTCAGGTTCTGTGAATATGTAAGGTAGTGTTTTGAAGGCCAGAAGTATGGAGAAGTGGTTCTATACTTGAAACTAATATAATAATGTATTTCAACTATAATTGAAACATTAAAAACATTAAAAAAGAAATGGTACATATAATAAAGAGGGAATGAATGTAACTCCATCCTTACTATATGCATTATACTATAAATGTTGAAAATCATATTATTTGTGGTTTATGAAATGCTCAGATAATTCTAAAAGAGAAATGCATAATAACTGTACGTTGTTTGGCTCCGATAACATTTAAGAAATTCTGGTATGTGTGAAAGGGAAATATAATGAATATTATAATTCAATTTTCATGAGTGAAACAGAGTACATGGGTAATTCTGGGCTTGTCCTTTTTTGCTGCTGGCCAAGAAGGCCAGAGAAAAGTGATTGTTTTTGAGACATGGAACCATGTTCTCTTTGCTGATGAAATGTGGAGGGCAGGGTATGTGTGTTCCTTTCACACTTATGAGGCCCAGATTTGAAGTGGAAAATGTGATTCTAAATTGTGGAAATTTGAGAAGGCATGGAAACCAGGTCTGCAGTCCCTGACCTCTGTAAAACCTTTATTATCATCATCATCATCACCACCATCATGATCATCATCAATGGTGTGTTCAAAGGGTCAGGCCTCTGAACATAAGTATTTCTGAATAAGGGGCATAGACAAGATGATAATACAATTATTGACAGGTTAATCTGTTCTAGCCAAATGCCTGAACACATTTTATTGTGTTTAATCATGATAGCTAAACCTAGATAGCTTTTTATTGAAAGGAATAGATACTATTGTTTGTATTGTCTCACTTTCTGTTAGCCTGAGAGCAAAAACTCTTAGTAGGCCTGTGTATCTGATAGATGTAAAGATGGAGGAGGATGAAACTAAGGTGTGAATGAAGAAACAGGAACAGGGAACCATAAATAACCAGCAAACTTGAGTTTTCCTAGAAGAGTTACTTTGGTGAGAACAGTGCTCCTCAAACTTGAAGAGCATACTAATCCCCTAGGGCAGTAGTCGGCAAACTCATTAGTCAACAGAGCCAAATATCAACAGTACAACGATTGAAATTTCTTTTGAGAGCCAAATTTTTTAAACTTAAACTATATAGGTAGGTACATTGTTATTAACTTAATTAGGGTACTCCTAAGGCTTAGGAAGAGCCACACTCAAGGGGCCAAAGAGCCACATGTGGCTCACGAGCTGCAGTTTGCCGACCACGGCCCTAAGGAATCTATAAAAATGTAGATTCTGATTCAGCAGATATGGGTGTGACCTGGGAATGTGTATTTCCACCAAGCTTCCAGGTGATGATGATCCTAAGAACCACTCTTGAAGTAGCAACTGGGGACAGTTTGGCTGGACCTCTTGGTGGAGGTGATATTTTAAAAATTTGAATAAAGATAATTTGTCAAATGGGTACCTAATTGTGATTTTATTTTATACCATCATTAACCTTTTATATAATAAAATTATAAATTATTAACTCCCCCCCCCAAAAAAAAAACCCTAAACATGTGTCTGGCCATACCACCTTCAGTTTTTACATTCAGTGCCCCTTATTTTAGGTCCTTTGGTGAATACTCAGTGAGCAAGCCAAACTTGTTTCCCTACCAGATTGTATTCCAACCCAGGCTGTCATCTGGTTAATATGTAAAACGTCCAGATGTTGTCTATGTTGTCATGGGAAGAGCCCTTGAGCTGCCTCCTGCACACCCCCTACTGGGGATGTGCCAGCAACCAAGGTACATGCCCTTGACTGGAATCGAACCTGTGATCCTTCAGTCCGCAGGCCAATGCTTTATCCACTGAGCCAAACTGGTTAGGACTAAATGCTTAAGTTTTTACGGGCTTTGAGTAGAAAAGGTCAAAGAGGACAGGGATTGAAGATGAAACATGTCCCATAACTTAAAAGGACTTCACTAACCTGCCCTTGTCCCTCTTTAATGTGTGGTTTTGGTTGCTCAAATCTTCTACAGACAGTGCAATCTTTTTTTGTTTGTTTGTTTAACATCATTCAATGTAAGTTGTTACCTGCTGGAAGCATTTCCCTTTGCTTTTCTCCTATTTTCCCTAATAGAGATGAGGATATTGGTCAAAGTAAAGCAGTGTTGACCATTTCTCCTGTTTTCTTTGCAGATTATTCCTCAGCTGTTCAGAAATTTTCCCAGACTCTGCAGTCCTTTCAGTTTGATTTTATTGGAGACACTCTGACTGATGATGAGATTAACATTGGTAAGTCTTCAGCTACAAGAGGCCACCGGCTGCCTCAAGGCCGGTCTGAAACCATTCATCCTTCTTGTTTGTGGATGCAGAGAACCTGGGCATCTTTATCCCTGTGGTCAAGTATGCTCCTGGGAGGCTGCTTAAGAAGGAGAAAGAAACATTTCCTCCCAGTCCCATGTCTTTCTCACCAAGAGCAATCAAAAGATATCCCTTAAAACCTCCATTGAGGCCTTTTACTCAGTCAGTATGAAAGGGAATTTTTCTTTAAAGAATTTGATACATGAAAAATATATTTTTGTAATGAATAAATTAAGACTGTTTTTTGGTTTATTTTCCAAAATGATTTACAGAAATAGTCTTCTAAGGAACAAATTCCTTAGAAAGTTTAACATTAGCATTTATATATGTACACCTTTTCAGGCAACAGGACATTTTGCATTTCCCTTGGCAAATGAATTTAATAACTTGCACTATGAACTGTGTGATCTTGGACAAGGTATTTCCTGTATTTCTTTCTACAAACCTTAGCCTTGTCCTCTTAAAAATGTGATCAACATCTGTCTCAAGGATGTTACAAAGAGGAGACTGAACAATGGAATGAAAAAGAACGTTGTTTTAGTTGTTATGAAGTTAAGGTAGTGACAGCAAACTATGGCCCTTGGACCAAATCTTGCCCTCTACGTTTTTTGTGTATTTTTTTTTTGGTAAATAAAAATTTGTTTTAACAAATCACACCTATTTATTTAAGTATTGCCCATGGGTGCCTTTTCAGTACAACAGTAATATTAAATAGTAATGGTAGAGACAGGATAGCTTACAAAGCCTAAAATATTTGCCTTCTGGCCATTTAAGAAAAGGTTTGGTAACCACTGAGTTAAAGACTGTAAACCACTGGTCGGCAAACTCATTAGTCAACAGTGCCAAATATCAACAGTACAACGATTGAAATTTCTTTTGAGAGCCAAAATTTTTAAACTTAAACTATATAGGTAGGTACATTGTTATTAACTTAATTAGGGTACTCCTAAGCTGGCCTTTGCTAAAAACGTCCTCAATCTGATTGAGGTATGTTCGCTGAAGTCGACCCCTTCCAACTCTCCCATCCACACTCGTCTTGTATACTTGTTTCAGATAGACGAGTGTGGATGGGAGAGTTGGAAGGGGTCGACCTCAGTGAATGTACCTCAAAACAATGTACTTCCCACGCGCTGCGTATCCCGCGGCCTGCCTGCGCTGCGTCTCCAGTCGCCCAGTCGCTGGACCGAACCTCTGGACACCCCCCACTTCTTCTAATGCCACTTCTTCAAAATAGACTCAACCAGGCCGAAAACCGACTTCTGCGAATGGGCCACGAGGTTTCAATCGCACTGTACGTGCGCGCCCGCACGTGGTATTTTGTGGAAGAGCCACACTTAAGGGGCCAAAGAGCAGCATATGGCTGGTGAGCCGCAGTTTGCCTATCACTGGTGTAAACCATTTGTAATATTAGAACATTGAACCACAGAACTATTGTGAATAATCTAATGTCACTGAAACAAGTTAGTAACAATTATCTTTGTGAACTCCAGAACTAAAATATAAAAATGTATTATTACTATTTTAAATATTATTTTTCAATTACAGTTTACATACAATATTATATTAATTTGTAAACAATGTAGTGAATAGACATTTATATACCTTACAGAGTGAGTTCCCTATAGGTCTAGTACCCATCTGACACTATACATAGTTAGTACAGTATTATTGACCATATTCCCTATTGTCTGATTTACATCCCTGTAGCTTTTTTTTAAATAACTGACAGTTTTTTACTTATTTATATCTTTCACCTTTTTCACCCATTCCCACTGTGCCTCTCACATCTGGTGACCATCAATTTATCCTCTGTATCTATGAGTTTTTTATTTTGTTTGTTTATTTTGCTTTTTTATTTTTACTTATTTATTTTTAATTTTTATTGAATTGATTGGTGTGACATAGGTTACTAAAATTATATCATTTCAGGGGTATAATTCTTTAATACAAAACCAAGTATTGTATTGGGTGTTGACCACCCAAAATCAAGTCTCCTTCCATCAGTATTTATCCTTATTTTACCCTCTTCTACCTCCCCCCACTCCCCATTCCCTTTGGTAAACACCTACTTTTGTCTGTATCTATGAGTTTTTTTTCTCCTTGCTTAATCCCTCCCCATCCCGATCCCCTCTGACAGCTGTCTGTCTGTTCTCTGTATCTATGAGTATGTTTATATTTTGTTAATTTATTTTGTTCATTGCCTTCCATATATAAGTGAAGTCGTACAGTACTTACCTTTCTCTGACTGGCTTATTTCACTTAGCATAATACTCTCCAGGCCCATCCATGTTGTCTCAAAAGGTAAGATTTCCTTCTTTTTTATAGAGGGATAGTATGTCATTGTGTAAATGTACCACAGCTGTTTTATGTACTCATCTATTGATGAACACTTGGGTTGCTTTGAAATCGTGGTTATTGTTTGTAAATTATACTTCAGTGAACATAGGGGTGCATATATTCTTTCAAATTTTGTGTTTCTCCAGATATATTCCCAGAAGTGGAATTGCTGGGTCATAAGGCAGTTCTGTTTTTAATTTTTTTAGGTAATTCCATACTGCTTCCAACAGTGGCTGTACCAGTCTGCATTCACACCAACAGTGCAGGAGGATTCCCTTTTTCTCCACATCTTTGCCAACACTTGTCCTTTGTTGATTTATTGATGATAGCCATTCTGACAGGTGTGAGGTGATACCTCATTGTGGTTTTAATTTGCACCTCTCCAATGATTAGCGACCTTGAGCATTTTTCATGTCTATTGGCCATCTGTATGTCCTCTTTGGAGAAGTGTCTATTCAAGTCACTTGCCCAATTTTCATTTGAATTGTTTGTTTGTTTGTTTGTTTTTTGATGTTGAGTTCTTTATATATTTTGGAGATTAACCCCTTATTAGATGTATCATTGGCAAATATGTTCTCCCATTCAGTGGGTTGTCTTTTCATTTGGTTGAAGGTTTCCTTTGCTGTGCAAAACCTTTTTAGTTTGATGTAGTCACATTTTTTTTTCTGTCGTTTTCCTTGCCTGATGAGATGTATCAGAAAAAAATTGCTATGAGAAATATCTGAGATTTTTCTTCCTATGTTTTCTTCTAGGATGTTTATGGTTTCGAGTCTAAAATTTAAGTATTTTCCTATTATATGTTCTTGCATCCTTTGTCAAATATTAATTGACCATAAAAGTGTGGATTTATTTCTGGGCTCTCTATTCTGTTCCATTGATCTATATGTCTGTTTTTATGCCAGTACCAAGCTTTTTTTTTTTTTTTTGTATTGTTTTGTTAATCCTCACCTGAGAATGTTTATTCCATTGAATTTTAGAGAGTGGAAGGGAGAGGGAGAGACAGAGAGAAACATTGATTTGAGAGACACACATCAATTTGTTGCTTCCCACAGGTGTCCCACTCAGGGATGGGGATTGAGTCTGCAACCAAGGTACATGTCCTTTACCAGATTCTTAAGTCTGCAGGCCAACACTCTATCCATCTAACAGAACTGGCTAGGGCCAAGCTATTTTGATTACTATGTCCTTGTAGTATAGTTTCATATTAAGGTGCATGATTCATCCAACTTTGCTATTCTTTCTCAAGATTGCTATGGCTATTTGGGGTCATTTGTGGTTCCATATAAGTATTTGGAATATTTGTTGTAGTTCTATAAAATAGGCCATTGGGTATTTTTTTGTTAATCCTCCTCCAATGATAATATTTTCTGTTGATTTTTAGAGAGTATGGAAGGGATGGGGAGGGAGAGGGAGAGAGAGAGAGAGAAAAAGAAGCATCAATGTGAGAGAAACATCAATTCTTTTCCTCCTGCACATGGCCAGGCCTGGAGATCTAATCTCTAATCCAGGTATGTGCCCTGGACTGGGAATCAAACCTGTGACCCTTTGCTGCATGGGACAACACTCTAACCATTTAGCCACGCCAGCCATTGGTATTTTGATAGTAATTGTTTGGAATCTATAGAGTGTTTTTGGTTGTATGAACATTTAAATGATGTTAATTCTTCCTATCCATGAACACAGTATATGCTTCCAATTATTTGTGTCTTCTTCAGCTTCTTCCTTCAGTGTCATAATTTTCTGCATACAGGTCTTTTATATCCTTGGTTAAATTTATTCCTAGGTATTTTACATTTTTTGAAGCAACTGTGAATGGGATTGTTTTCTTAGTTTTTCTTTGTGAGAATTCATTATTGGTGTATAAAAACGCAACTGATTTCTGGATATTTGTTTATAAAGTATCCTGCTACTTTACTGAATTTATTAATCAGTTCTAGTACATTTTGGTGGAATCTGTAGGGTTCTCTATATGCAATATCATGTTATCTTCAAATAATGACAGTTTTACTTCTTCATTTCCAATTTGGATGTCTTTTATTTCTTCCTCTTGTCTGATTATTGTGGCTAGAACTTCCAGTACTATCCTATATAATAAAAGCCTAATATGCAAATCGACCAAACAGTGGAACAACTGGTCACTATGTTGAGCACTGACCACCAAAGGCAGATATTCAATGCAGGAGCTGCCCTCAGCTCACAGGCTTCAGGCCAGCCAAAGCGGGTGCCAGAGGGGGCTCCCTGATCACCCCACCAGTTGCCCCACAGATCGTCCCTGATCACCAGCCAGACCTAGGGACCCTACCCATACATGAATTTCATGCACTGTGCCTCTAGTGTTAAATAAGAGTGGTGACAGGGAACATCCCTGTCTTATTCTTGATCTTATGGTTTTTAAGAGAAGAACACTTTTCATTTTTGCCCATTGAGTATGATGTTTGCTGTGGATTTGCCATATATGGCCTTTATTACATTGAGGTATGTTTCTTCTATTCCCACTTTTCTGATAATTTTTATCATAAATGGGTACAGGATTTTGTTGAATGCTTTTTCTGCATTTATTGATATAATTGTGTGATTTTTATTCTCCATTTTGT